GTAAGAGTGCTACATTTTTATGTTCATTTTAGAACTTTCTATCCTAAACCAACATAGCAATATTGGTGGAACTTCAGAGAAGGGCACAAAAATGATCCTTAGCTGGAGATGAATTTGAATACATAGGTATGTTTATCTTCCGTTTCTGGAGTCTCAAAGTTGACTTAAAATATACTATTAACTCGAGATGAGAACATGATGCCCTAGTAGGGAAAATTTTCAGTCTTCATTGCAATAACACAATGAATAGATTAGTTTACTCTATAAAAGATGCAGTATTTAAGTGAAGGTTGTTTCAAGCAGTTCACTAGGGAATGTGGTGGACTTGCCCTCACTTCTGATGTTTTAAATGTTAAGAATTTCTTGTTAAAAAGCATACTTAAATATAATTCATAGAAATCTGTATTAAAATGGAAAGAAGTCATGCTAGATAAAGTCTGCAGGCATTGAAATCTGTGGAGATCTATGGTTTGCTTGGGCATGCTGGTTTGACTGAGTTTGTCAAGACTTTAATGAACATCCTAAATATGTCTAAGGAAGAGTGTGGAGTAAAATGTAAAGCCAGGATTTAGGGGGAGGAAGATGAAACTAAAGTAACAAGGAGAGAGGTATTAGTGAGGTAGGAGGAACACACTAAACCTCAAACTGGAGAAAAGGCCAAGAAGAGAAGAAATGTTAGAGAATGAAACACTCCAAACAGATGCTCCAGTCTTAGCATGTACATATTTCATGCCTGTTAGTTATACCTTACTTATTAGTTTGACCTATTACTTTTCATTATGGGGAAGAATAAAATGCTTCATTTGGGAGCAAGACCCTGCTATGATTGCCACAGATGATGTATTGGTCATTTCAGTAGCTTCTCTTTTAATTTAGTTCGCATGGGCTAAAGAGAGTTCTTTTCAATTTTGCAGCAGATCATAAGAATTCAGAACTCTGAATTTTAGCCCACTCCATTTTGGACTACAGAATAAATATTTTGGAGATTTATCAGTTTCTGAGTGCTCTTTTTGCAGTATCTGACAGCTAGCTTGAGTTAAAGATTTTCCACTTTTTCAGTCACAGCAAGAGCTGTATTTATTATAAATTCTCTCTTCTGCTATTGAAATGAGAAGGATATCAGGTGTTAAAAAATTGGGCAAAAATTTTGCACTCAAAGGCAAGGCCCACCCACAGCTTTTTTTATTTCCCCCCCCCCCCCCAAGATTCTTTGTAAGGTCTTGCAGCCAAAACTCAAATAAAAGGAAAAAAAAAATATTTGTATTGAGAAGTGCACTACCTCATTAAAACTATGCTTACCCTGCAGAGCAAATCATACCAGTGACTACCAGAAAGTTTGAGATGCAAGTATGTTTACTGGCATATACAGAAGTGTCCAATGCACACAATTTTTAAGTGATGTGAAAAATGATGTTTTGTACCAGTGAGGGTGAAGGGTGTAACTAGACACAAGAAAGGTTTGTCAGTTTTTATATTTCATTTACCCTCGAGTCCTTCCAGTTACTATTTTTTCCTAACAAGTCTTTGTAACAGTGAAATTGAGAGACAAGCTGAAAATCACATTCATATGCATGAAAGGCTTTTGAAGCAGAGAATTTTTTTCAAAGTTAAACCATGAAGTCTGTTACAGCAAAAGAGAGCATTTTTCCTCTACTGAACTCCCATTGCTATGCTAAGGTTCTTTGTGCATTTGTAACCAGCTACATGCCAGCCCCAGCTGTTCTGAAGGGAACCTGGTGTGCCAGACTTCCCTTCTAACTTGAACATGTGGAACATCTTCATGTTTCAGCAAAGGCATGTCTGATAGGCAAAACAGTGTGTCTCAGGGAAAAGATGAGGACATGGCTGCTGTACTTATGTCATTCAGCTGAAATATTTTCTGATAGGTGGAAGGCAGTGCCAAAATCAGTGTCTTGAAAAAAACCTACAGTTGCTGACAAGAACATCTGCACAAGATCTCCTGTGAGCTTTTACCTGAGTTGTCCAGGTGTGTATGGCCTTACTGCTGTACTAGGGGCTCCTGCAACCATTTCCTGCTGCAGTGAATTTTTGGCTTGGTCTGCATCTGCTCACAAGATCACAGAATCTTGGAAAAGTTGTTTGGATGGGATCTCAGAGCATATTCTCACCCAACACCACTCTGAGAGTAGGACTGATAGATCAGATCAGCTGTGGTTTTGTCTGAAAGCAGCTTGGAGATTCCATCATCTTTCTGGATTATGTCTTCTAATGCTACATTACCCTCCTGGTGAAGACGCTTCATGTTCAACATGATCTTCTCAAGCTACTAAAAGCTGTGGCTTTTGTTCCTTGCTGAGTTTCTGAAGTTACTAAAATGTGCTAATTGGTGTCTTTTCTGCAGCAAAACTTCCTTCCAGTGCAATATCAGGGCTTCACCTTTTAAGATGACACTTTATGAGCATTAATGAGCAGTTTAAGTCTCCGTGATCCATTCCTTGTGCTGGCAAGACTTCTGAGAATGCGACAGTATGGCCTTTTTTCATTGTTAGACAATTCTGTAATATCTATGGGCATCAATTTGACAGGAGATTAGACTAAAAGAAATGGCTGTAATACTCTTGCCATAATCAGAGCTTTTGCACTTCCACTGTAAATTTCACTCACTTTGCATTAGATGTTCACTGAATTGGCTAAGATAACTTTAGACACGTAATCACTGTAGTGTTATTAAATAGTTGCATACAAATGTGTTCAGATGACTTGTAAGCCTCATGTAATCAGAGGCCAGTTGAGCCATCACAACTGGTTAAAAGGAAAAGACAATTCTGTCTTTCTAGCTTTAGCTATTTTATATTAAAGTAAATGAAGCATGTTTTAATCATGGTGGGGTATTACTAGATTATCAGCTCTGGGACTGATGCCCTTTTTTTTGGCCACAGTACCACAATATGAAATGAGCCCAACTATGTTTCTGATGTGTTTTTTTTTTTTTTTTTAAATCTGTTTGGGGTGGGGGTTCTTTAGCTGTAAAATCTAGTTGCATCCAAGATGACAGGAGTTTCAAAGAGACAGCTTATGTAGAATTTCCAGTCTAGTGTTTCTGTTCTGGTGAGAATACAAGGATAATTTTCAAAGAAAACAGGATTAAATTTCTGTTTTAATTCTGTTTACCTCCAGTTATATTTTTTTATTTATATTATGATACTTTCCAAGTGTAACATTTGATCTGTACTTGAGAAATACCACATGCTTGGTGGCTTTCAGCGATGAGAGTGAGTGATGGGTGGTGGAAAAGCTGAGCAGAAGGGTTTAGGAGTGTTTGTATGTGCTACATTACAAGAGGTCCATGTGTTCCTTTGGGATAGAACTAACAGTATTCCATCTTGCTTTGTATGACAGAAACTTTGACTTACTGTGCATATTAATAAAAAGGGAAGGAAGTGAAACGCTCAATCTCCTTCTTCACTGCTGCTAATTAATAAGCAGAATTGCTGTAGGAAAGATACTTATCTTTGAGTTGCACAATCTTGTCAAATCAAACTAATTTTCTTCAGAAATCTGTTGTACTGCTACAGTTTCATTCATCATGCTGCACCTTTGTCTTTAGTACTGTGCTAAGAGAAATCAGACTAGAATGACATTATCATTCAGATGCATGGTCCATATGTCAGCTTGTGCTTGCATACATGCAATGTGGAACAGAACTCGCAGGCAGCTTCATGCTCCCAATAAATCCATTTCCAGGGCAAGTACTGCCTGTGCATTTTTCAAACCTTTTTAAGAGCTGCTATTAAGAGCACTCCCATACAGTGTTTGGGCTTCTCCCTTTCAATCACTGAAGAACTGCCTCCCCAGCTTGATGGAGAGCAGTGCTGGCAGGGGTTAGGGGATGAGGTGCAGTCTAATTTTTCCTTTTGACGTGCAAGAAGTCTTGACCATTTCAGTTTGTTACATATTCAATGGCACTTTTCCAGGGATTGGTTTGTAGCCCTGGTGCTTTCTCCAAATGTCTTGTGAAACTTCCCTTGTGATTTCAAATTAACATAGCAATTTTTTTTTTTTCTTACATAATGAAATGTTATTTCATGCTGTCTTTTTCAGTTGTGCTCAGAGAAGGCTGGATTTCAATATTAAGTGAACTGCACACTGCTGCTTATATAAATTAAAAAGCATGCTGAGATCTCTAGGGAAGGAGAATCATTAAAAAGAGGGACTATTGTTGCTATTACTGTTGTTACTAGAAATAATTATTACCTATTTATTTTTGGAAATTCTATACAGCATTTGTCCTATAGGAGCTCTCCTTGTCTTGAGGCTTTTCTTGTGGTCTTTAAGCTTTAATTTTCAGCCTTAGGAAACCTTTTACATACAGGCTGAGACAGATTTTGTTACCAAAGAAAGCCCTCCTGCTGATGGAGCTCTGTGTTTAATTCTTGGCAGAGCTGGGGAAGCACTTGGCTTGGCTTGCCTGCTGTTGATCTTTTTCATATAGCCTTATGTGAGATACTGATAATTCTGAATTGCAGCTCAAAGGAAAGAGGACCACAGTGTATTTCAAGAACACTGCAAAGAGATTATTCTATTTGCTTTGAAAACTTGGTTTGATAAGCTTTTTAGACATGTATAAATGATGCAGTTCCTTTTAACAGCAGGACTAAAATGGTGGTAATGTAGTTGGGCATTCAGTGAGGTCAGTGAGGTGCACGTCTATCCTGTTAAAAATGCATTTTGAAAAAAATGAAGGAAACATTATACCAACAAATGTAGCACTGAATTATCTCTGAGGCTTTTTTCTTGCATTTATGTGTGGGCACACAGTTTGTGGTGATTGGGATGGGGCAGGGCAGAGCCCCATCCCCAGTGGGCACAGCTGTGAGCAGCAGGTGAGCAGCACTGACAGCAGTGAGCCATGGAGGGCCCGGGGCACTGACCAGCCACAAAGGGAACAGAGGCACACAGGTGCCATGCATCAGCATGAGGGGATAAAAGGTTGAGCTGAAGAACAAGAAATGGCAGCTGCTTGCAACTTTTTGAGGTGATGTTACTCTGTATGGGCAGATGCTTGAAGCCTTCTGATGTGGTATGGTTTTACTGTGTATGGGTTGAAGCTTTCTGAAATTGTAATGTGGCTGTCTCAACTGTGATATATGCTGTGACATTCATGCGTAAAAGCTTTTAATTACTGATTGAGTATACTTTATTGTGATACTGCCTGCCTGTTTCTAACAGGAAGGGAATACAGCAGCAAGCTAGTTGTGTTGTGGTTTTTGACAGTCTGGAACTAGTGAGCTCTACTGATAAAAATGGATTTATGTTAACTTACAGATATCGCTATTTCTGTTTGAGTTTGGTGGGGCCTCCTGTGCATTATAATCTTACAAACAATTATTTAAATCAAGTTAGTCTGTGTTAAACACTGGACATCTAAATGTGGGTATTTATCTTAGACTGTTTTCCCCCAGTGGTAGCAGTGGGTTCTTTCAGGAGGCAGCTAAGGACAATATTGCTTGAACTGTAGCTATAAATTGTATTTTGAATGCTTGTATTTTTGTCTCTGGATGATCTGAGGTGATTAGCTTTCTAATTTAGGCAACCAAAATCAGATGATATGAAATCTGTTTGCTTTTGGCATTTCTCCCCATACACTGCAGTATCAGGATACGTATCAGATGTTAATGATCCCATATGCTGCAGCCCAGAGATTATTTGCCTTTACGACAGAAATGTGCAACAATGGCTCAGGAGTGTCCCTTTACGGTATCACAGTGTTGTGTGACAGCATCAGTTGTAGTCTTCTGGCACAGTCACCTAGCAGGTTCTTGTGACATGATACAGCCACACTATCGGATGCTCTTTTGCAACAGACTCATGATGGGAGAATGCAGCTGTGCAGCCACTGGCCCATACCAATGTAGTTCGACACTAACTGATGAGGCTTTTTATATTGTGAGACTTGCTTCTAATATTACACTGCTCTGAATCCTTATTTATTCATCTTGCTTGCCATGTGCAACAAGGCTGTTATTCCCAAATGAAGTCTGTGTAACAAGGAGCAAGAAAGAAATACAGTACCTGTTGTTTATACCTTCCTTTCATTTGAAGTAACTGAATTTTTGCAGAGGGAGGTTTAAAAGACGCTAAATTAGGTCTTAATTTGTGACATGACAACACAAGAATAAAATACAGCTACAGAAAGCTCCCTGAAATTAATTTGGTTCCATTTCAAAAGCACTGTTCATGCCCAGGAGGATGGCAGAGAAAGCTGGTATGCACAAACATAATAGGGTTTTGATAGGGGACAGTTTATAATGTCCCCTATCAAAAAGATGCATCCTGGATCAAGTGGTGGGAAGAGAAGTGCTTTCTGCTTTGTATGCATTTTTAAGGATAATAACCATCTGATGGGTGGAAAACTGGAGGAGACTTTACTTAGTGACTCCTTGCCTTTAGTCCTTTCTCGTTATAACAGATCTTAAAGTTGAAATATTTGAAGTTAAATGAGTACCATAAAATAGCTGGAAATTGTTTCAACCTGGTTGTAAATGCCCAGTTAATTTCACAGTGGAATTATGGATTATTTCCCAGTGCTTTTTATCACTAGCATACATTCCTGTATTAAAAGTGAGGAACACAAGGCTTTACCTTGCTATTACCTTTGGTCCCCAACTGAAGGATCACAGAGTGTGAAATCTGTCCAGGTATCTAATGGGGAGTGCCCTGCTCAAAGGATCACCAACATCAGAGACTGCAAATTGTTTGGGGACAGGGGCACTCAAGTCCTGAGAACCTGGAGGTTTGTCCATGTGTTAGTTCATTAATTTTTCTGCAGAGGTGGAAGCAGCTTTCATTTACTGGTACAGGCTGTGAGCTGATCTGCTGGAAAGAAGCTCTGCAGAGAAAGATTGGGCATCCTGGTGGACAACAAGCTGTCCCTGATGAGCCAGCAGTATGCCCTTCCTTGTGGCCAGGAGGGCCAGTGGTGTCCTGGGTGCATCAGGAAGAGCATTGCCAGCAGGTCAGGGCAGGTGATCCTGCCCCTCTGCTCAGCCCTGGTGAGGCCACAGCTGGAGTGCTGTGTCCAGCTCTGGCTCCTCAGGCCAAGAGACTTGGAGCTCCTGACACAGGTCCAGTGGAGAGCAACAAAGATGATTAGGGGACTGGAGCATCTCTCTCATGAGGAAAGGCTCAAGGAGCTGGGCCTGTTCAGCCTTGAGAAGAGACAACTGAGAGGGGATCTTACCAATGTCTGTTGGTATTTGTCAGGATGGTGCCAAGAAGAAGGATCCAGGCTCTGCTCAGTGGTGCCCAGCTATAGGATAAGAGGCACCAGGCAGAACCTGATGCATGGGAAGTTCCACCTGAACATGATGAAAAATTTTACTCTGCAGGTGACCGAGCTCTGGAACAGATTTGGCTGTGGAGTCTCCCACACTGGAGATATTCAAGAACTGTCTGGATGCAGTCCTGTGCAATGTGATCTAGGATGATTCTGCTTGAGCAGGGAGGTTGGACCAGATGACCCAAGTAGGGTCTTTTCCAACTTTACCCATTCTGTAATTGTGGTTCTGTGAATTCTGTTCAGTTGGAAATTATTGGAAGAAGAGGTGATATTCCCAAGATGATTTCTCTGTCCTTTAGATCCAGGTCTGGATTTTAGATTGTCTGGTCTCTAAACACAAACTTAAGTTTATTGGATTTAAGTTGTTAAACATAGAACCTTGCTGAGAAATTGAGAAGCGGGCTGCTTTGGTACAAGTCTGAATAGTAATACAAGGTCTGGATCTTGGTTAACACCGGGTGTTTTTAATCTGGCCAATTTCTGCTTCCAAACCGATAAAGTTCCCAAGCAATGGACTATCACTGCTGTTTTGGGGTTTGTTCCATTGTCATGCTATCATTCCCGTTAAGTCATGGTGTCTGCCCTTTTCAAACTTCCCAAACATTTGCAGTTAAGAGGGAGGAGACTTCCTTGTGTTTTTCTGGCACTGGGACTGGAAATACTTAAACATCCATCACATCCCCAGTGGAACTGAAGGGTAAAGTTATCTGTTGCTTCATCTGCCTACCCTTTCTGTGAGGAACTTTTTTTATATAAGCTATAATGGAGCAAATATAGTTACCAAGAAAAGTAAGTTTACAAAATTTTTTCCCCTGTTTTGGGACCAGCAGTCTTCCACAGGAGGAGATACATGTTTGACTTCAGTGAACTTATTCTTTTGTCTGTCTCCCTGTAGTTTCTGAAGTACCATTTCATCATATTTTGGTCTTTTCTGTTCCAGTGGTGCATCTGCTTCCATTTTTCCTTTCTGTGCCTTTATGCTTCTTCCTGAAGTGTCTGTTGATGTGACATTTGCTCAGTTTCACCGTTCTAGATGTAGGCATTTTAGCTGCTTCTAGTTAAAGACACAGGCAAGGAGCAGAAGATACTAATGATAACAGCATGGTTATCTTGTCATCACTGGTCTCTTTCTACATTTCCGTCTTACTCAAGCAGTTCTTACTGGCCTTTTTTCTCAGCTTATCTAATGTTATCTGGTCAAGCAGACAGACTGTGTGATGTTCCTGAAGAGTTAATTGCCGTTTTCTGAAAATTCCCCATTTCCCTTACCTACTGCAGTGTGAATTTTTGCCTGTCAGCAATCTCTCCTGTTAAATGAAAAGATGCCCTTCTGGGAGAGTCTGTGCATTTCAGTGACTACAGAATCACATTTTTGGGAGGAAAACAAAAAAGAAAAGATTTTATCTCTGAGGTACCTAGAACCAAACTCACACTGAATTGACTTGGACTCTAAACTGATACAATTTATGGAACAAATAATGATGGGGACAAATCCTGACTATGCACATCAGTTTACTGACTCATTTAATAGAAATTAGCCAATTAGGTTGCGCCCTACTGTTATTTTTTGATGCTCTGTCAAAGCAAGGATGTTATTCAAAATCTGTGCCATATTCTTGGTTTTCTGTATAATTTTCTTTGTATTATCTTAAGTACTGAGCCTGAGTAGGTCATCCCTTTGTACTTCAAATAGCAATAGAGATGCACCCCCCTGGGTCTGTAATTTGTTAATTTCCTAGACTCATAAAAAATTATTCAGGATAAGACCTCACAGTAACTCACTGTGTTCTTGTACTCAGAGCAGGGTGATGAAGAGTGAATCAGTCCCTTGCTCTTTGAAATCTGTGGTCAAGCACTGACCGTAACCTGTGGGAGGATAGAATGTGAGAGAATAATGCACAAGGCAATCTCACCCCTGAGGAGTTGCAGCTGTACCAATCACCAGAGGTTAGGAACAGGCCTGCCTTAATAGGCTACAGCTGTGTCCAATAAGGATGAGTGCTAAAAAAGGACGGGTTGGCTGGGTGAGAAGGGACCTGAGTTTATGGCTGCGCTGAGAAGGAGGGGTCAGTGCTGTGAGGAGCTTCCCATAAGAAATCACCAAGAAGGTATGGAACTTTTGCAGTAAGATAACAATACCCTGCCCAGAGAACCTGGTTATTGCCATGGCAGTAGATCCTGAGATACCAGATGTCTACTTTGACATGACCCAGAGAGGAAGAATGCTTTGATTGCTATTGGCAACTCTCTATGTGTGAGATGAATTGTGCCCTTTTGCAATAGCAAATTTGTATCTTTGGAAGCACTGACCTCTTTAAGTCTACCATGCTATCCTGGGATGTAGGCAGGGATTTGCTGTGGAGTTAGTGCCTGTTGCTGTGAATGGCAGCCCTCAGCTGCACTTCTCCCAGTTTCTGCTTTCACACACTGTCTACAGTCTGCTGCTAAATGCAAGCATGTTCCTTTGTGCCCGAGAGTTAATGGAAGCACACTCAGAAACATACAAAACACATTTAGCCTCATAAAACATAAATACTAATACCATTTGGTGGTGACATGCTGTATTAATGGATAGATCAGTCACATTTCCATGCCGTTATCTCAAGTCCTGGCTTGAAACTCACTGGCTAAAGGCAACTGATGGGATACATTTTGTCTTAAAACCGCCTCAAAAGATCTTCTTGTCATCTTTCAAAATGGGCTGTCTCTGAAGTGAGAGGACACCTTTGTCTACCCTGAAATATCCCTTCTGCTTCCTCTTCAGAGCCAGACAGAGCTGTTTGCACCATCTGTATTAGGGCTGGACACTGCAGAGGAAAGAACTCAGCAGCACTTCCACTTTACCTTTGATTCTTCTAAAGAGGGGCAGATGGTCCTTTCTGGACCCTACTGGACCAGCCCCACCAAGGAAATAGGGGGTAAATAGAACCTTTTACAGGTTCTAAGTTAGAATGGGCACTGCATTCCCAAGTTGGTTAAAACCAGTGAGTGGCACAAGGTAAGGCACTAATTTGTTTAATTGGCTAAAACAGACCATAGTTTGCCCTTTAGTTAAGTGCATTTGACTGTAAAACTAGACCAACTCAAAGAAGGGATACATCCATAGAGCTATGTGTGCCCTTTGAGCACAGTGCACTTTGAAGTAATTTTCATAATAGTTCCCAGTTAGTGACTTACTTGCTGAATATAAATCTTTCCCCTAGAAAATGGTTTTGTTCATGTAGGCCTTCAGATAATTCATATTACCATGTCAGTATCTATTCATGTGGCTTGATTCATGGTCTGGTCACAGTCTTTGGTGTCCGTGGCATCTGTCTTACTGATGCTCAGCCCAAGTCTCTTGGTCTTGTTTATTTACNGTATCTGCATTTTAATTTGGGATTGGATCCTAAAATACAACTGATATTTCAATATTCCCATTGGAATAGGGAATGCAGAATTCCCTTACTCACTCACTGCAGTGCCTCTGGTTATGTACCTTCACGACAATCCTTCTTCCTACGAGTTTTTCCCACCAGATGGCAGTACAACAACGCTGACAAAAATAGGGAGTGCAGAAAAGCTTGAAGGCTGGCACCTCAGCTGTGGTGAAAATGCATCATTTATGCTAACTGCTTACTTAAACTACCATGTGCCTTGTTTAAACTGACTACATCTGTGTAAGTTCTCTGTACAAGGCCCCAGCTGTGAGATTTTAGTAATGTGTATGTCCTGCTTAAGTTGGTCTTCCAGAAACGAGCATTTTAGCTGCTTGTTTGTAGTAATACTACCTTTATACAACAGACGAGAGTTTTTAACAATTAGGATGATTCCCCAGCGTTCTCTAATTTGTAAAAGCAGTGCATGTAAAACAGCACTTATAGCTCAGGAAAAACTAGAACCTAATCTCTAAGAACAAAGAGAAAATGTAGTAATTAAGAGACCTATATCACTGACTGCAGCAGCTCACTTCTGGCTCTGTGTGCCAAGCCTTTGTGGTACAGATCCAGTTGTCAACTCAGTGCAGTAGGATCTGAGGCACCTTGAAAACAGTCTTGTTCTGATGCTTTGATCTTTTGTGCTTAATTGATGCTGGCAAGTGCTGGAGAATATCTAAGTGCACTGACCTCTTTTTCCCATTTAATTTTCTCATTTTAGTTTGAAACTGGCCCTATATAGGATATAAATAGTGATGTATTTACATATTGTGTTCTGCTCCAGAGGGGATCACCAGGCAATTTTCAACTTCATATACTTGGCATTACTAAAAAAAAGGCTACTTCTGGCACAGATGTTAGGGCTGCTTTGGCTGTGGTTATAAACAGGAATCTGGACTCTGTGAAAAAGTGCCAGGGAGATTTTTTTTATGTTTCAAGAAAGGCTTTGTCTTCTTTCTCTTAAAGCTTTTTTTTTTTTTTTTCAGAAATGGTTCTTGCTGCAAAGCATGCTGTGCAGTACTGCCTACAGCTGCCTTAGAAGGATGAAAGGTTGGGGCAGCCCTGGGAGCATTTGACACTGGGTCTGGGAGTCTAATTATGCCAAGCCTGATGATGAGACTCTTAAATCAACCCTTCTAGCATTTTAATTAATGCAATCATGCATAAGACTGGCAGCAGAATCACTTATGGAGAGCATTTCCATTGAAGGCTGAAAATTAAAGGAAAAAAGATAGTGCTGAGCATGGATGAACCAACTTTAACTTGCTTGAGCTCTTGGGATTGTAAGGAGGTGGGTTGAGTGAGAAGTGATATTAAAGTGAGAATTAAAGTGAAAGTGTTAAAGTCTAAGATTAATCTGCAAGAATGAGAGGTTGTCCTGCTTTTACTTCTTTCTTCTAATGTAATGAAATCACACTAAACATTTTTTGTAGTACTTACTTGGCAGATAAGTACTCAAACCCAACGTTCTGTCCTTCTGCATTTTTGTTATATTAAGCTGTGGAAAGGTGGAGTTAAATGCATGAGGTGCATTCCTTAAAAACAAGAAATCCCAACTCTTTTTAGGGTGGAGTACCCTAGGCTGGGTTTATACCCTGCCATGGTGTGTGTATTTGTACTGGTCCTGGCTGGGATGAAGTTATGTACTTGGCTTCATAGCAGCTGACAGGAGCTGTGCTTTGTTGGTAACACTGGTGTTTTGACTGCTGCTGCATGTTGCTTGCACAGTGTCAGGGCTTCCCCCTGTGCACAGTCTAGCAGTGGGGCTTGGGTGGGGACAAAGTTGGGACAGTGACCTGAATTAACCAAAGGGATATTCCATATTGTATGATGTGCTCAACAGTAAAAGTTCAGGGAAAAGTGGCATTTTTCTTTCCAAGCAACTGCTGCAGGTGGAGATGTACTGTTTCCCAGAAAGTGGCTCAACATCTGCCTGCTTGCCAACAGCAAGGTGTGAATACCTTCCTTTTGTTTTACTTACACAGTGCTTGATTTTCTTATTAAATTGTCAGTATCTCTATGTATAAGCTGTTTTCCTTGCTTTGATTTTTTAAAAAATTGTCTCACAGGAAAGTTGAGTGAGCCAAGGAAGGATGGGTGTTTGGTTGCTGGCTAGGGTCAGCACCCAATGCTATTGCATCCTTCTTAGGATTTTTGTCCAGGATTTGTTGGGAATTGTAATGATGCTGCCTTTTTCCTTCACTTTGCCTAGGCTTTCCCTCTGTTCTTCAGTCTCACATAGGCCTGCATGCAACACAGGATCAGTTGAAGTTGATGAAATAAAAAAAAAGTTCCCTATGGACAGGATGATGCAAAGGTGAATATTCAACCAAAGGGAGAAGGTGTGATGACACTCACTAATGCCTTGCAAAAATTCTGAAGTATGAGGTTTGTATTCTTAAACAGATGATTTTGAAAAACAGCTGACTAAAAAGCATCCAGATCTAGAGGGTTTTTGTAAATACTCTTACTTCTGTAGCAGGGTCCACTGAAAAACTGAGTCTGAGCAATAGGGGGGAAAATGGATTTGAATTCAGATTTACAGCTTATATTGTTAAAAATTCCCACAATAGAATTTGGATTAAAACATGCCAGTGAAATTTGAGTAGGTTACAGAAGTTGGTTTATGGTCTCTGTTACATAAAACTTGATTGAATTTTTGGACCAAGTCAAACCCCAAGCCATTACTAGCTGCTTTGAGAATTTAAGAAGAGGATTCAGATTCTCTTACAGGAAATAAACACTGAGAACAAAAAAAAATTATGAAAGATTTGAGGTTTTGATTTCTCATCTTGTTTCCAGACATCTAATGTAACTGCTGTGAAGTCATCTCCTGCACTACTTGGATGAGAAACCTGTCTTCGGAAAGAAGACTTTGACATGTCCATTTTTCCACAGGAATCCATAATTGGCCAACCTTATTTAAAAAGAGATTAAAAAATAAGGAAAACTAATAAAGGAAAATAGGTAAAATAGAAGAGCAAAAAGACAGAAGTTGATATTACTGAAAATACTAGGCTTCAAGACCTGTTACTAAAGTAGCAGGACCTTGCTCAGCTGCCTACTTGAACATTCCAAGGTTATTGGGTTGTTGACATTGCTAAATTTCTTCTGGGGAATCATGTTTGAACTTCTAGTTTTACAAATTTCACATGGTGCTTCATTCCAACAGATAGAAGAAACTGTCAAACCACAAATAACAAATAATGTTGTTTTAATATTTTTATTTTCACTGTAGTGAGGTTAATAATATGCTTGCACGTGGCTCTTGCATCATTTTGGCTACTAAAGAATGAAACTGTGTGCCTTGCAATTTTCTGTCCCTTGCTCTTCCCTTTGTTCTTGAACAGGGATTATTTTGAATGTCTTCTGTTCATTGATAGCTGATATTTTAGGATCACACTAGTGAGACTAGAGGTTTTTCCCTTCTTGATAGTCACAGAATCACTTGCTTCCCTCCTTCTTCCCAATATGGAGATCATGACTGGTCTGGGGAAGGTCATGTAGGGCTCTCAAGGCTCAAAGGAGTAAGCAGCACAAAATTTTTCATAGAGTGGATTGGGTTGGATGTGACCTTAAAGATAATCTGGTTTTCTACAGGCAGAGTACTTTACTCTTGACCAGGTTACCCAGAGCCCCCATTCAGTCTGGCCTCCAATACCCCCATGTTGTAACCCTTGTGGTATTGACACAGGTAAGCCCTCTTTGTGGTATCTTGTTCCTTTCTGTCAGCATGGTGCCTTCTGCCTGCCCAAAATATTAGTGGCCTCGAGGAGAACAGAAGAGAGGTTGTAGAAGAACTTTGTATTTCTCAGTCCTTATAACTGCATCCTGTACATAGAACAGATTGTTTTTAATTAAAAGAAATTTGCCTTGATAGCAGGATTTGTGAAGCTAGGTTTCTCTTCAAAACTCAGGCAAATAGTCAGTTGATGTGGATTTTGTAGTTTCAGGATTAAGCAGTCTCAGATTGCCTGAGCAAAACATGTTCCAAATCAAAATTGCTTTGTTCTCTCAGGAAGGCAGAGTGAAGTCACTACCTTTGCATGATAAGAAAGCTGCAGTTCTTTGAAAACTGGTTCCAGGCCTGTGGCCCTCTTGATGAATGTGATCAGTCTTGAGTTTGAATAAAAAAACTCAAGCCATCAGTAAATTCTATGTAATTTAATGTTTTGGAATATATTACATGTGGCATCTGTGAAGCAAGACTGGTAATTACTTCCAAGGAGCTATCTGAAGCAGATCTGCCAGTGCCTGTAAATTATAACAGGTATTGCCCAGTCAACTGTGAATAGAGCTTTAGGCAAAATCCATTTTGGCTGTTAGGCCTGAAACCTGATTAATCCACAAAGCTAATCAGGATTTGGTGATGTTAAAACTATGGGATCAGAAGAGTGTCAGCTCCTCTGGTGGAAGTTCATTGGCTGTAAAACGTCACAAAAATTGTCCACCCTCAGGCAAAACTGAATTCTTAAAATGTGTTACAATTAATGTGGAATGCCATAATAATGAGAGGTTTATACAGGTGTTTTCCCACTTGCCAGGTTAGTTTTAATTGCCATATGTAGAAGCCAACTTGTATTAAAAGGAAAAAGCAACAAGCCAAATTCAGGAGTGACATAAATAGCATGTAATTTACACACAGCTACAGCAGTGTGCATGCACAGCAGTCTTATGTAGGCCATGTGCTGGGGGGCACAATGGCCAGTCTGTAGGCTGGGGATTGTGCCCATAGCTTCTGCAGCCCAGTCCTGCCTTGTTCAGAGTTTGAAATAATCCAGTCTGCGCCAATACACCTGAGTAGTGCATTTTCACTGGCATTTTTTTTCCAATGGCAATTTGTCTTTAGCTCTGAATTCTCTCTTTCTACTTCCTCCTTTCAGCTAAATTTTTGCCACCTGTACAGTGAAGTCCAGGAGCTGAAGGACAGTGCTGGAATCCCTTCATGATGGCTATGGTCTAGCTGCATCTAGAGACCCGTTTCATGGAAGGGACCTCTTTGCTTTATCTCTGCTGACTAGCCTTTGGGATGGAGTCAGTGGAATAGTCTTTTTCCTTTCAAAAAACAGGCCTCCAAGTTTGAGATTTCACTTCAAAGCCATATTTTCCAGAGTAGTGAAAATAATGCAAATGAAAGGGAAATCTTCCCTTGTGGTAACTGGCAAACACATCACCACGAACAGGGGCTTATTTATGTTCAGGGTGGTGCAGAGCACTGGCACAGGTTGCTCAGGGAGGTTGTGGAGTCTTCCTGTCTGAAGACGTGCAGAATGCACCTGGAACAGTTGCTGTATAACCTGTTCTAGGTGACCCTGCCTTGGCAGGTTTGAATAGGTGATTGCCAGAGATCCCTTCCAATCCATTCCATGACTGTGATTTCTGCTGTTTAATAGAGGGTCCTATATTCCCAGCTTGGTGGGAGTTGAAACCTTTCCCAGTGTCTTTTAGAAAGATCTCTTGCTTATTTATAAGGTGATTAGCAAACAGTTTTGCTCCTGAATAATTTTAAGGAGGCCCAGAAAAACCTTTATGCTAGCAAATGAATGCTGTCTGCCAAAACAGAAATAACTCCTGTGTGTATGAAAGCCACAAGGAAAAGGCCACACTTCTTTCATTGCTACTTTCCTGACAAGTTTAAATATAGGCAAACCAGTAGTTAGTGATGTAATGTCAATGCTCTACCTTGTTTATGAACAGTTATTAGTTAATAACCACATAAAAAAGTCATGCATGGAAACATACAGCATGCCAAATAATGTTGCCAACTATCAAAGCTGTAATAGATAACTTCCTGCCCTAAACTGTGTCTCCTTTTGAAAGCACATCATTAAATTTTTGTTCAACAGTGTTGAAACAAGTTTTTATTCAACAGACAGTGAAATTGTTTATAGCCTACTGTCCAGTTCTGTAGTCTCACATAGAAATGTTGAAAGTCATGGTAGCACATCATCAGAACAAAATATTTTGTTGATACTTTTCATAGTTTTTGATGTTTTTATTTTCCTCAGTTTAAATCTTGACATAAGTAGAGTTAGGTCTCAATAGCAGCTTAGTACATCATCTTTCTTGTAGTAAAGCAGTGAAATAATAGTTCAGTGATTCCCCTGCTAGCTCTGTAGGCTTAATACAACTGCAGGACAGATGATTTTATATCATGTATACAAGAGCTGATCTTAGCTGA